CTGAAAACCTAGTTTCTGTTTTGGATGACAGCAGTTCAGGCGTCGTGTCTGTTTGTTCGTTTTGGTTCGGTTCCGGTGGTGAAAAGAAATGGGTTTTTGACGATTCTGCTGCATATGGTCAGCTAAGGCTCGTTTATCAGGCTAGGATACTTCTCGCAGACACATGACAGAAGCACTGATGGTTCAGTGTGTTGATTAAAATGACATTAAATTCAAGGGTATGATGCTAAATATCAAAGTCCACTCTAAATGATTTCCCGCGCATATTATTCCTTTATGCAAGTCCCGTCCAGGCATTAAAATCCAACCTCCTGGTACTACCCCCAAGTCTAGGTCTAAGTCTCGGTCTATTTTTGATGTGAAAATGTCCAAAGGACAAGTTGGAGAGCCAATTGGGTGTAATTGACTCAAGGGTTGCTCACATAGCTGCGAGCACGGCGAAGATCCTCATCCTCGGAGTCGTCACGGACTTGGGCGCCGCCATGAGTGTCAACACGGCCCTTGGCCTTCTCAATATCGTCGACAGTCTCGTCATCACCACCGTAGGCGTACTTGCTACGCCCACGGATCTTTGCACCGTACTTCCAGAACATGAAGGGAATGGCACAGCAAGCAAGACTGATGAAAGCAAGGAGTGTTGAGGCCCATTGGTCGTTGAGACGATCATACATCTGCTCAGTGAAGAGAACAACTGCAGCGCCCCAGAAACTACGGATGCAAGTCTTTGCAGCGAGAGCAGAGGCAGCTTGGTGCTGATAAGAGTCGACAAGGTAGTTGTTGGCAGAGTTGTAAAGGAAGATGAAGCCAAAGCCAACAGGGAAACCACCCATAGCAGGACCGGCCCAAGAAAGGTCCGTGTATGAAGTCCAGGCAAAGATGAAGAGACCAATAGGAATGAACCAGCATGAAGCCATCATGGGAATAAGACGAACCTCAGCGGGGGGGTGGCCATTGTGCTTCTTGACGAGCGAGATGTAATGGTTGTTGACCCAAGGAGAGCAAGCAGCCGAGAGGAGAACACCAACAGCAACAGGAATGAACATGAGACCAGTCTTTCCAGCAGAGTATCCCTTGCCCTTCTGGTAGATGATAGGGAAGGCAACGAAGAACATGTACAGAAGACCGTAGAGGACACTCATGTACACGGAGATAAGGAAGACAATGAGCTCGCCAAAGAGAAGCTGGAAAGGTCGAACGAGGAAGATTCGAAGTCGCTCAGACAGAGGTCGAAGATCCAGTTCCTGCTCTGTGACGTGGTCGGTTTCACCAGTAGCAGCTCGAAGCTTGCGAGCTCGGCGGGCGAGAAGAGTAGGGGCATAAGTCTCGGGGACGGTGAAGGTGATGAGGACCCAGACAACAAAGGCGAGGATGAGCTGGATCCAGTAGAGCCATCGCCAACCAGCGGCATCAGAGAGGAAACCACCGACAAGAGGGCCAACTGATGCATTCGTTAGTATTTCGATAAGTGAGGGTATTCAGAGGAGGTATCTTACTAGCAGGGCCGATGAAGGGAGCAGCGGAGAATGCAGCCATGGGAACACCACGCTCTTCATTCTTCCACAGATCGGCGAGAGTACCGCCAACAAGAGTCATGGGTGCTGAGAAAGCAATGCCGTCGATGGCTCGGCAGACGAGAAGAGTCTCGATATTCTTTGCCACGGCACAAGGAATGATGAAGATGACAGCCACAAGAAGAGTAGAGCCACTGAACAACGTTAGCAATAATCACGGGATATCTTGGCTGAGATGACTTACTAGATGATTCGTCGACCGTAAATCTCAGAAAGAGGTGCAAACACCATAGGTCCAACACCAAAACCCACAACGAACAGACTGATACTCACGAGAGCAAGCTCATTGCTGACATCAAGATCCTTAACCACGCCGGCGATATCAGCAGTGATAACACTAGAGCAAAACGCAACAACGAAGCACGTCAGCGCCACACACATAGTGCACCACCACTTATAAGGCTTGCTCCAATTCTTAGGGTTCTCCTTATCACCGGGAGTAAAGGTGACAAGCTTATACCGCCTCTCCTGTCCAGGCTCATGGTTCGTCGACTTTCTCGCGATCTCCTCAGGCTGGATAGGGCCGGGGATGGCACCGCCTGGGACTTCAACGCGGTACTCGTCTAGGTTGGCGTTGGCGCTGAGGGTTCGGTAGGGAAGGTCGATATCTAGATCTGGATCGCGGGCTTCTTTCTGGGAGCCGTCGTGGGAGTGTGTGTGGGTGTAGGAGAGGGACCGACGGATGCGGCTCATTGTTGTTTGGTGGGTGTTTAGGGGTGCGAAGGTGGTGTCGTCTTCACGACCTTCTAGAGTTGTTGAAGAGCGATTTGGATTTTGTTGATCCATTTTGTTTGTTTGGTTGATAGTGTATTACAATACTCAGTATACAAGGTAATAAAATCAAGGAGAGTAGAGTAGAGTAGAGTATATGGATAACTTAAAGTAAGATATGAGAATCAAGTTAATGTCTCAAGTTGTTCGATAGAATACAAACCTTTCATAAACTGGGCCATGCCCACCTCTATATACCTCCCCATCTCATCTCATCTCTTGCTCTAGAGATTTCTCAATATCGCCGCACCCGAATTCCGGCGCTGGGCCGTCAAAGTGGGTCCTCGCCACCCGGTCCAAAGCCCCACTCTTTGCGGATGCGGCTGCGAACCGTGCGGCTCCATCTGAGAATACAAGGATTAAGCATATCACAAATCTACAGTATGTGCATACCTGTTTTTGCTGGAGTTACTCACTCGCCTGGTTAGTTGGGGATACTTCGGTGTTGGGGTGTATGTAGCATTATCGATTCATTATTTGCTTCTTCTGATCAGGGGATGAACACGTTACATACATGCCTTTGACATCCTTGCTTGTTTGTGAGCCTCAATATCAGCCGCATCTTTTTCTTTCTCTCTAGTTCTGTCTCTCAGTTCCAATCTGATTTCCGTACTTTGAGTTTTATCTGTTACGGGTGATGATTATCTCCCTTTAGTCTTCGGTCTCAGTCCGTTAAACACATCAACAGGCGTTTGAGAGCCTCCACATCGGAAGCGACGGTTCCGATGTGGGTTCCCGTGATATCTAAGCTTCAGCGCCGTCATCGGAACTTAGACTTGTACTGGGCTGAAACAACGAGACTAAAAACTCAAGCTTCACGCCAACGTCATTGCTGCAACAACCCCTGTTCACTCTTCGGTAATAATCCTTGTAACTTCTGCTTAGACTATCATGTTACTTATTGATGCTATCAACTGATAATGCAATCTCTGGTCTTTCCGGAACATCGCCGAATCTCTTGCCTCTCCTCTCTAACAAGCAGTCAAGCTCCCTCTCGAGTCTTCCATAAAGTCATCTACCACTCCCGAAATATAATCTTAGTAACAAGTCTCCCATGGTCGTAGGTCGGTGGCATATGCCCTGTCGTGTCCGGTTTTATCTTTAGGGCAATCTCTGCATTTGTCAAAGCTGTAAAAGAAACATCTGGCGCTGAAACCACCTGCTCCTCTTCTGTCATATTGTAGTCGCCCTTAGAATCGACCTGTCTCAGACTCCCATTGGCCTCGACGACTGTACGATGAGGTGTGCCTTGATGTCCGACACGCAAGGCCCACGCCCGAGCCCACCCCTGCTCGCAGAACGCCCAAAGAATCATATCAGCTCCCGAATCTAGGGCAAGCTCCACCAAATTGCAACAGATAGCAACTGGCAGTCCTCGAATTTCAAGTGGATATGTTGTCGCTTGTGCGAAACCATCAACCTCAGAGTCAATCTCGTTGCAACTTCCCTTGGGCCGTGAGTCTATCTCAACCAACAAGCTGCCATTCTCATCGTGTTGGGTGACATTCATGCAATGCTGACGACATATACCCTGAGATATGACGGCAAGCACATCAGGCGGTATCATGTAAAGAACAATCATCTGTTTGTCTGTGTCTGAAGATATCGATGGATCGGGGTTGATGGGTCTGGTTGAGATGTCCTCCCCTGGACTGTCGTATCCACTGCCATTCGAAAATGTCGCCATGACACAGACCCCGAATCTCGTGTCAGACACAGCTGTGTATAACACGGGCAGCGTTGACGTCGTATTCATTGGAGGACGAAATTGGGCCTTGCAAACTAAGCGATCCAAGAACCCTCCCGTTGCATCAGAGCCCAAAGAAAGGGTCCCGGTTCTGGGATCCGTGTACAGTATGTGGTTTCCATCGCCCAAGGGAACAGGTCTGTAGTGATCCCGGATGTTGCTGGTGGTTATATCTTGGGTTGGGCTTTGTTCTCTACTGCGATGCTGCTGTTGTTGGTCATAGCCATCGCGTGCTTCTATGAACTGGGAGAATTGATCGTACGCTCTGACGTCTCCACTCAGAAGGGTCATTGCCGTGACCCCTGTGTCGCTCCCTTAAGTCAAGCCTCTGGGCTTGCTACCGGAATGTTGAAGACGCTTCCGACTGGACCGAATAGATTACCGAGCGTCGCCGGAGTCGAAGTGCATCAGCCGCATAGACTATGCCTTGTCAGATCATGCGCTTAGCGAGGTCACGCTCGATGGCACGTCAAGAGGTAGGCAGCCACGATCTGAGCAGATCTCAAAAGGCGTTTATAGAATTCATATGTAGGTATGAGCGAATGTTCTCGTGATATGTGCTTGTTGATATGATAGTTGGCCAAATGAATGATGACGATGGAGAAGAAAATGGCCACCTCAGTCATTGTTGACCAAGGCAAGCACTATTGTCGAGATCACGGGTCAGGGAGTCAAAGAGGAAGGGGCAAATCAGGACGCCTCTTGCTTAACACTAGGAGTTTCACGACTCGACTGCGCTTTAATTTCATGGTTTTTCTATGTCTTCGGTTATTCTAGACATGGCTTTGAAGGACTCAAAACTAACGTGTATTCTTGCGATAAAAGAAACGGGCATTGGGGTACCTGCTCAAACTTCAACCCCCAGGCAGGCGCCATAAACCAATCATGCATGCCACCTTCAATCAACGTCATTAAACATTATTTCCTCCGTTGTCTCTCCACACGTTTTCGTCTCCTATACCTAGTGTGCTATCGACACCCTGGAGAACAGGGCGCTCAGTCTCCTCTGTTGTCTGCGTGTCATCCGTGGGGATGGGTGGAGGTGGCTCATCGTAGATCCACGGTTGGGGAAGTCTGTATATCTGTCAGAATTCATGTCATACATGGTAGGTTAATAACGACTTACGGGGCCACAAGACTGGGGTTGACGAATTGCAGTCCCTTTTCCTTGTACTCGTCCAGGGTACTTCCACGACGCAGAATGGCCTGTGAGGGTCGAGGGCGGTCCTCGTTCTCAAATGCATCATCCAACGCAGCTGCATCGTCTGGGTCCTCATCTGCCCTGACAGCGCGAAGGGCAATGTATTTGGTCAGAGGCTCGAACCTCTGCTTGATATAGTAGCTGTACCAGATGGTCAAGGGGAGCAGTGGCAGAATGCACACCGACTGAATGAAGGCCTTGCTAGTGGCGATTCGACCCACCATGACAACCTCCAAGACAAGCAATCCGACGATGATGCGGTAGCTTATTATTCTCCACGCACCTCCAGTGGCATGTTGAGGCTGGTCCATTGCGTAGAGTACCATGTACTTGAAGGCAACGTAGCCTAGACAAAAGTACACGGTCCCGACGATTAGAATAACATATCCCCAGGCCAAGACACTGTAGATAAGACACAGGTTGAAAACAAGCAGAGACGTAGGAAGGAAAAACCCGTATTGGAAAACCGGAGGTTTCTTGAGCTCGAGAGCGTCGCGTGGTGTTTTGGACAGCCAATGTAGGAACGGATAGAGGAATACACTTCCTGCCTCGAGAATTCGGAAAGGCATAAGTCCAATGCCCTGTAACATAATAAAGCAAATATAGAAGATCGATAGCTCCTCTACATCTTCAGCGATCGCGCGGGGCATTTTGCTTGTGTCCTTGGCAATTTCCTGAATTCGGCTCCAGAAATTGATTCCTGTCAGTGACACGGCAAAAACAAAGAATGTGTTGAAGAAGGTGAAGAAGTAGTTTTTAGAGATGACGGAGAGTTCCACGTCACCCTGGGAAATCATTCCTTGGTGGTTAGAAAGGAAATCGTACAGATACGGAACAGCAACGTTGAGAAGCGATACGACTAGAGCAGGCAAGCCGTTTTGGACCAACGAGAAGATAACGCCGTGCTGTTGCAACCATTCGGCAAATGCTGGGAAGTGAGTCCGGATTGTGCAGTAACTCAAAAGTGACGAGATTCCAATGGTGGGGAATATGAATGCGAGTGTGAGAGCCGTAATGAACAATGTCACAGCCCAAGACTTGAGGCGGCGAATACCGCGGGGGGCGTATGTATTCCTCCAGACGAGGTCTGAAGGAGCTGGTGTCAACTTGGTCAAGAGCCGGCCTGGTCTGGGGTCAATTCGGGCCTGGATAGCCATTTGGCACGAAGCCACAGAGTCCATAGTAACAATGGCCATGTCTGTGGGCGCGTATGACTTCTTGCGAGCCTCTGTAACTTGGGAATCAAGTCTTCGAAGTCGTTCCTCGTAGTAGTCAATAGCGTCAACGTTGCGAGATCGCAAACCAAGGGTTCCATAGCGTATGTTAACTTTAGGTCTGCCCTCATCGTCAGAGCCCCATGGCTCCTGTTGAGAGTCCAAGAGGCGTCCGTTTTCTCCAGCTTGGTCGTCATCTTCTTGGTCTCGGGGCACCCCGTTACCATCTCTCCTTTGGGGCCTATTACTTTTTTGTTTTTGGCGCTGGTGCTTGAGAAAGGTAGCCCATGCAGCCTCCAAGCGTCGCAAAGTCGCATCTCTCGAATCAACAAGGTCGTCAAGCTTCTTCCAGTCTCGACAAAGCAGAACCTTCTCAACTTTTCCGATGCCCAATTTTTCAATAAGTTCCTTGATATTTTCTTCTGTTCTTAAATCCTCCGGAATACCTGTAAGTCGGAACGTCCTATCCGTTACGGTGGACTGTGATCCGAGATAGTCCTGGCGGAATTTGATAACGCGAAATGTCTCGAGGTTGAGATAGTAGATCGTCAAGCCAACAAAAAAGTATGTAAAAACGACATAAGCCCAGAGCCAGGACCTCTCGAAGCTTTTGTCTGTTTTATCCTTGTGCTTAAGTATGTCGAGGAAGCTCGCATCTGAGAACACGGTCTGATCTGTTCCATATAACGAACCCGGGACGGTCGATGTATCATCACCACCGTTGCCCTTATCGTCTTCGGCGTGCGAAAATGCACTATTGATTGGCAATAGGACAACAGTTGCAAAGATTGCCATAATGCTAAAGAGTCGGATGGCCATTTTGAAGAAGCTCAGAAACTATGACCTGTTAATGATATATACCTGCCTCTCAGGGTTTGTATCGTACCACAAAAGCATCGAGTCCGGCGGAGGCCAGGACCTGTTCTTCGGTGATTTTAAAAAGTGCCGGGATCCAGCCAAACATGGAGTTTGGAAGGGCAGGCAGACCAAGGTGGTGATCGAGCCGCCGTTTTCGCGCAGCGTAAAGGGCGGGCCATCGTGGGCGTAGGATCTTTAATGAATCAGCTCTGGACCTTATGCTTTGTAGGATCACTAGGGGATCGTGAAGCATTTTGCAGGCATGCCAAGGACGAACGTACACAGAAGAGCAAGAAGGCAGAAACACCAATCACCAAGGACAGTACGAGCTGGACCTCGAGACTCTTGCCGGTGTCAGGGGCGATGACCTTCCGACTCTCCTTCCAGCATGAATCGGTTTCGTTCTTCATCGCGAGGGACGATGATGAAGACTCACAGCGACGAATGCTGAGAGTTGTTGTGTGAGACGCAAATGCAAGGCTGAAACTATTCAGGTTCAAGTTGTGGCGCCTGACGAGTTAGAGCCGATGACGTACGGAGACGGTGAAGGAGGACGGACCCACATGAGCTTTGGTCACCCAGTCATGTGGCGACGCAAACACTTACCCTGTACCCCGAAGTCTTGTAAGTCATTTTACCTCATTTCCATGGACCATTGCAGATGTGTAAGATAAAGTACTGAGTGTTGAATTACTGAGGTGCATTTCCAACTCCGAGTGGAGATCACTCTAATCGATCTCTAATATTTCATTCTTTGTCATCGAGTAAGGATCTAAGTATCCTCCGAGTCACAGGGATCTGAGTCTGTTGCATGATGATTGAGACTAAACATGAACCTCATGTATCTCTTTCAGATCTGCACTTGTGGCCCCTTCTTGAAAGAAAGAACGTTCCCATCCTTTCAGGACGGATAATACATTACGTGCGTCCTGCGATATGTTGAGTAAAGCCTCGCGCTGAGGGTGAGCTGGAGAACCCCAGAAGAAAACCCATGCGCGCTGTCGGAGTAGGGTAAGATTCTCTTGTGTATAATTGCGAGGAGTGCCATGACGAAGTACGATGCTCATCCATAATTCTGGGACTAAACCATTCTTTCTATCAAGATTGCCCGAAATGGTTTCCCTATGGGCACGTCCGTAATCACAACCGCAGCGTGCATCTCTGAGAAGAGACAATGCAGGTTCAATTGAAGCTACTGGACCTTGCTGCTTTTGTCTCTCATCCACGAGGCTCATGATTGGTTGTAGGCCATAATTCGGTAGTCTTGCTGCGACCGTGGCGCACACCGACTTGTCGTATGCGAGTGCTTCTACCCATTGGGTCGTCTCGCAGACTATGCTGCTGGAGCGTCCAAGTCCCAGGGGTGCTTGATCCGGTACCGCAACTCCAGACCACTCAGAAAAGAAGGCTGTATACAAAGTCTGTATATAGGCATGAACACACCGGATGGCTTCGTCCTCCCATGGTAGAAACTTATGACCTCCTCGTCGACTCAATTCCACTGGAGGCCTATAGCTACGATCGACAATCGCGAAGTAAAGGCGAACCTTGCTCATCAACTCGTGTCTTAAGAAAGCCCAGAAAAGAAGGTTTCGTCCAGGTTTGTCAAGACGATCCAGGTTAAACCGTCCCTCAAGCCGTGGGTGCTCAGTATAAGTCAGGTCCGAGTCCACCACAGGAAGACTTCGATATGCTCGTGGAAGGAAATCAGAGGTCGCCTTATTCAGGTAGTCTTTGATGAGAGACAGTAAAAGTTGGTGAAGTTTGTATATACCGCCAACAGTAGACTGGTCCTCTAGGGCCGAGAGACTATCCGCCAATTCCTGTGTCGCCCATTTGTCCATCATTATAGAAATGTCTTTATTGAGGCAAGCTTGATCTTGCTTACTCGAGACAGTGAGATTTTGGAGCTTGAGGATGGCCATGGCATCTTGAAGCATCTCCACATCAAAATCAGCTTTGATCTGATCCTGCATGATTTTTCTGTCAGCAGAAGTAGATTCTGTTTGCAACAGCAGGCCCTCAGTTGCGTCAGGCTTGATGTGGGTTTCAAAGCCCGCTGAACCATTAGAGGAGAGAATTTTAGGATCAATAGTTGAGCCAACAAGCGCGAGAGGATAGAAGAGTCCAATAGGATGAGTTGGATTTGTGTTGGAAGACTCTGGGCCATCGAGATTCGAGTCTTCCTCAACATGACAACTGGGGCTTCTATCTTCCGAGTCAATATCGGTCTCAGTTTGGTGGACGATCCTTGCACCGAAACAATCCTCCTGTGTAATCGACGAATCGTCATAACTGCAGACAGCGTTATCAAAGAAGGATGGTGAGTTCGTGTAGCAAAGACTGGAATGATGTTCTTCAAAGACATTGGCATTTGGGTTGACGTAGTCATCGAGACTAGCAGAGAATTCCTCAGGGCCAAGATACTTCCCATTGTTAGGAGTGAATATAGGGCTAGGAGGAGCCATTTCGTCCGTCCTCTATATAAACAGTTGAAGCAAAGGATCTTTGATTAATTAGTATAATCGATTGTTGTTTCTCTGTGCGAGTTTTCGAATGAAATTCATGAAGCAAGGATAGATCAACGAGAACAGAATCCGGACAATAAAAGGTGAAGACCATCACTTATATCAGTCTAGACATTTACTTTGAGTTTATATCATACAACATTCAAAGGTTTATGTGTATATATTGAAAGTTTCCGGCAACAGATTCGAGCTCAAAGTGTCAAAGAATAAGTGATTTTACTACCTATTGGCCTTTGCCATTTAGGTATAAATTCAATCATATATCCTTTGGAACCTCTACCCCCACCCATGATGGCAAGCACCATGTTCGTAGCTTAGTCTTCTTTGTTGACTACTTCACTATCTTCGGGAGAAAGCATTCACTTTCTCAACGCTAGATCACCTAAGTATCCCTTCGAGAGAAATATACTCTGCTGCCTAGTACCTGGGTAGTGCTTCTCGAAGCACGTAGTACCCATTTGCTGGAAGGGACTATATCGATACGATGGTACGTGAAGCTTATTTGAGCCATTTTGAATACCCCAGAGCTTGCTGGCTCATTTTAAGACGTTGCGCTGATTTATTAGGAAAAGTTTAAGCCCATATTGTGGAGAAGACGGTCAACGAAACTTTTGATAGCGAGTGCCACCTGTTGGAAGCATTACATAGTAGATAAGATCCTAGAGGTTATTGAAAGGCGAGGGCATTCATCATCATCCATAGCATCTCGTAGGGTTCCTTGAACAATACATTCAAGCTAGTCTTTCTTCGTTACGCAAATGCTGTCTCAGAGCCTAGAGACCTCGGTGACCTGCAGCGATGAGTCATGACTGAATCGAAGGTTTGGAACGCATACCATTCTTTGCTGCTTAATATACAGACGTTTCATTTGATATTCCTCAGAAATGAGGACCTCTTTGATAGAAAGCAAATCAAAACGGATCCTTACTACTGTATAACTCAAGCTCCTAGACAGGCTCACGAGCAAATGCTGACAAACAGAGCTTGTCCCGGTACTGTATTTGTAGGGTGTTCTCGAAGTCAGACATAATCTCCGGCGAGTAAGCTTGAATTGTGCCTCTAGGAAGGAAGACCATCGTATTCCATCTTTCACTGCTGAGAAAGGTGAAGTTCATTTAATCTATTTCTCTGGCGAACCATTGTTGGCGGCTTGCTGATCGGTCAAGATATTCATCTCCGAAGAAGAGTCGCCTCGATCCTACATATTTCGCTGTTGCCAAAATGGAGATTAGATTATGTTCAAGGCCCCCACGCCTGCTCGAACGATGTTCAAGGCAAGACCTCGAGAGAAGAAAAGCATTGGCTTAACACGGGTCGTATAAGCCCAGATGGTTCCACTGCAAAAGAATCCTTCTTCTCCAAACCCTCCACTTTCCACTGCACCAAGACTCCAATACCTGAGGTACATCGGTTAACTCCGTTTCTTTCCTGCTTGGCCGCATGGAAATATCGTGTGCTAGTGAGGAAGGCAAGGGAAGGCCATTCAAACGATGCGGAACTGCCCAGGATCTTCAATTTAGCTCTCCACCGGCTTGAGGCGAAGGCTTCACGTTGTCCACCGGAAACAACGCGCTTTTGCCTACTAGTTGGCGATGAGGTAAGAGGCGTCACTTGAACAGTAACCGACTTCGCCTTTTAACTTCACGATCTTCTGACAAATACAGCAGAAGAACTATCTCGTTAGCCTGCAGTGACGCAGAACATACAGTGTGACGAGAAACACGGACAAGGGCTACAATGAACCAACATGAGAAACCTCACTTCGTGAGATCTTATCTTATCTTGATGATCAGTCGGTGGTGGCTGACAGAGCCGCCAGGGCTGAAGCGCCTCAACTTAAACCCACCACGGCCTCAAATGGGTACGTAAAACTCTGCTAGCTCGTCGATTTCTCGATCGAAGGATTCGTTCTCGGGGCCAGAGGTAAACGGATGGCTAACAGGCTACCTCAACTGGCCTCACGACAATTGCCAAGCGAGCTGGTCAAGAATTGACCATATCAGGACTAACTACATAAACCCTGCATACTTGCAGCTAAACCACATTCGAGAACAGCAGATTTGATCAATTACGGAGCGTCAAGTTTCTGATTCTTGCTTGAGAGAGATCTATATGAATTCCAGCAAGTCTTGTCGAGGACCGGACTATGAGAGTTCACCCGACGGCAACGGCCATGAACTCATTATGCTGGGATCCTTTGTACCAGCTTGGATTAGACGATGGGTCTCCCCACTAAATCCTCCTTTATTGGCTTATCTGATGATCAGATAAAGGCAACTTGAGCGAGCATCCCTGAATCGCAAAGAGCGTCTGCAGCGGCCAGAGCTCAGTATTAGACCAGTTACGGAAGTGATCATCTAAAAACATGAATCCTTCAAGCCTCTCCCAATGACAACAAAGCATTATTCCCTGACACTAGAGTTCTCTCCGATGGTCAAGGGTGCACATCCGTCTTACCGCAGAAACTCCACTCAGAATCATCCACTGCAACACAGGAACCATGAATCCACGACCCTTCTTGGCCCTTCTCTGCGAACTTTTTCTCTGCAAAAGAGCTTGGCATTAGTCCGACTTCCGGAACAAGACACTGGCGTCTCTGCAGGGCAGGTCCGGTGCAAGACTAATCCCTACGGACCCAGAAGATAGACAGTCTATCCTGTTGTCTTGCCACTCATGAAGGAAGAGACGAGACAGGATGTCGCGAATATTTCTGGAGAATGTAACGCTGTCTATAAATCCGCGGCCTTAATCACGTTTCTGTGTTGCATTTATGTTCCTTCATGCCACTTCCTTAAGTACGAAGGGCCTCAGCCAAGTGTAACCCACTCGTGGCACTGTTTAACCTCCTTTACAACTCTATTCCCAGCTTTCTGACCATCATTGGAGCTCGAAGATCCCATCAAGAAAACATGGCCGCTTCCATTAGCCCAGCCCAAGTCCAGGGTGACTTCGAGAAGCAGATACAGCCTGAGAACCATGCCATCAATGATTTCCCGGACAAGGAAAAAGAGCATGATTCCGATGAAGGCTCCGAGATCAAGCAGGATGGTGTCAAGCGCGTCGAGGCCATCACCAAAGTCTGGTCTCCTGGTATGATGTGGGCTGTCTTTATCTTGTATGCTCTCTAATGCTCCTGTTCATGAGCCATTGAGACTCAGCTAACATTGATACAGCCTCTACTTGGTCAACTTCGTCGATACTCTCCTTCAGGCTGTTCACTCCAGCTTGGTGCCATACGTCACTTCTTCATTCAGCCAGCACGGCCTGCTTGCTATTACCAGTGTTTTCGGATCCATTATTGCGGGTGTAAGCAAGCTCGCCATCGCCAAGATCATCGATATCCGCGGCCGAAACGAAGGATTCCTGCTGATGATTCTGATAATTATCATCGGGATGATTATGAAGGCCTGTTGTAAGAATGTTGAGACTTATGCTGCTGGTCATACCTTCTACTGGGTTGGCCATGTTGGTCTAAGCTACATTATTGATGTCGTTCTTTCAGATATGACTTCTCTTCGCAACCGTATGATCATGTTCGGCCTTTACATGAGCCCCCGACTTGCTTCAACTTTCGGTGGCCCTAAGATTGCAGAGTTGTTCTTCAAGCACTCGACCTATCGCTGGGCGTTTGGATCTTTTTGTATCATTCTTGTCTTCTTCTCTATCCCCGTGTCTGCCATTTTCATGTACCATGAAATCAAGGCCAGGAAGCTTGGATACCTGCCAGAGAAGAGTCATCGCAGTATCTGGGACTCAACCAAGTACTACTTTGTCGAATTTGACATTGTTGGTATGATCCTCACCATTGCTGGCTTCTCTCTCATCCTGACCCCTCTCAACATTGCCACTCGCGCTCCCAACGGTTGGAGGACTGACTATATCATCGCAATGCTTGTTGTCGGCGTTGTATGCCTTGCTGGATTTGCAGCCTGGGAGAAGTGGTATGCTAAGGTGCCTTATGTGCCTTTCAAGTTCCTCAAGGACCGAACCATCCTCGGTGCTTGCCTTCTAAGCGCTTTTCTTAACATGTCCATCTTTGCCTGGGACACTTATTACAATTCGTACCTACAGGTCGTCCATGGTCTCAGCATCGCCACCGCTGGATACACTCTGAACGCATTTTCTGTGACCTCAACTATCCTGGCGCCCTTCATCGGACTGTAAGTTGTGCCACCCTGTCAACCAATCTGATCATTTGCTAACATGGCATTCAGCTTCCTCCGTTGGTATGGAAGATACTACTGGCCTGCAGTCTTCGGTATCCCCTGGTGTGTCCTTGGTACTGCACTTCTCATTCACTTCCGACAGCCCGGAAACGACATCGGTTACCTTGTCATGTGTCAGGTCTTCCATGGTGTGTGCGGTGGTATTTGGGCCATGACCGGGCCTCTCGCCATCATGACTCAGGTCACCCACCAGGAGATTGCCGTTGTGCTCGCACTTTACTCTATGTTCGGCTCCATCGGCCAGGCTATCGGTTTCGGCATCTCTGGTGCCCTGTGGACCAATGATCTACCCAGAGAGATGTACAACGCTCTCCCCCAGGATGCCAAAAACCAAACCGCTGCCCTCTACGGCGACATGAAGCTGCAGATGGCCGACCCCATAGGCACTCCTATCCGAGATGCCGTTGTTCACGCCTACGGAGTTGTACAGCGCGAGATGGTTATCGCCGGATGCGCTTTCTTGCCTTTGATCTGTATTTGTGTTATTGTCTGGCGTAACAAGCCGATCGACAGACAGCAGACCAAGGGTAACGTCTTTTAGATTGTGCTAGGAGCATCAAACGAGTTGAACTTGGAGGCTTTGCAGACTCAGTCGGTGGATGTGCGAACAAGAACCAAAAGTGATTTATCTAAGATACCATCTTCCGTTTACAAACTTTAGACTTGGCGATTTATCCATTACCGTGGTTCACCTTCCTATGAAAACGTTTGTGAGGCTAGCTAATGACCCTTTTGCCCAGAAAACATGGGACTTCATGACAGTGAAGCCCACAAACGAAATTCGATCAACTGTTGAATGACTCCAGGGAGTATTGAAATCCCAGAATCCCTCTGGTCGAATATCAATCGGGTTCTCGGTGCCACTTTCTCAACAACCTGATATCGAAGCAAGCTAATGTTGTGCATCTGTGGCAAAGCGATCTACGAGCGTATGATACCGGCATATCTCAAATTTATTCTTATGGATTGATTAGACGGGTATCGACATTGATTCATGCCGTTACGCATATCATTCAGGATACCCGCATCAACACTTTGCCTTGTGAGTTTGCCATCGCATCTGCCGTCCCTGTTTGCCGCGCTCATAGGCTCACATGGCTTTTGTGTAACATCCAAATCAATAGCGCGTCTGAAGCAATTCTGGGATCATGCGTAGCTCTGGTCTCTTTTTGCTAAACTACAAACATTGTGGGAAACTACTCATGCTCTATAGCTGATTCAGTCTGCAATCACCCGCGCTCACAAGATCGATGACTGCTTCACCTTGTGGGACGCATTGCGTAAGATGCGAGAGATGCAACAGGCTGAGAGTGTTGGTGGTTGTGATTGATTGGAGACCAGAGTCGAAGCGGCTTTATGCATTAAGACAACGGGTAGCCGCATGAGAATCACCGAGCGGGACTTCGAGTCTTGGGATATATGGATAAGCCGGCTGATATCTCATCCGTCACTATCCTTAGCTTCATGTATTGCCCGTAATGGATGAAATGCATCATCATCTGCGTTTATTACTGCGAGGACAGAAGGGCCCGGACAATGGTTGTAGCTGAAAGGTTGCTGATATGCGGTATGATAGCCCGATGAACGCGTAAGAAGGCATATTACCTTCATAGCAAAGAGACATGGCATTATCGTCTAATGATGCATGGCACTGCAACCCCTTCTCACCGATTCACTAAGCAATCAGACAAGAGTGAGTGTGTGTTATCCCAACCCGACCATACTGTCCAGAATAGGATACACATGCAGTAGCGTGCGTGAGCATCAGACTGTCCCCTGAGTGCTCGATTTCCAGATGAATCACCGACGATATAACTTCAACCCTGATCCCAGAGCATCCCAGTGTAACCAGTGACCATACTTTGCGGTCTGGCAATGAGCCAACAAACAGAGTATGAAGCAGTCTGCTTTACCACTAGAGTCATAAGAGGTCAGGCTTGAGTTTCGTTAGGAGAGTTTGCAGCATCTGCAATACAAACGGATGAGAGAGCCTCTCGTTCACTCGGACTATAAATGCTAGGCATTTTCCCCTTTGGATATGATCACCAAGAACTTGTTAAAGACTTTAGTCTACACAGAGAACACTTTCATCTTGAAGTTTTGAGATAACGCTTTATCATCTGGAAAACACTCTTGACATACTCTGGCATCAGTCTTGACAGAATCTGCTTATCATCATGCCTGATCAGTCAAAGAAGGCCAGTCAGCCAAAGAAGGGGACTGGCAGTAAAGGTGAAGCCACTCGACCGGTGAACGGGAAACCATCTGGGTCTGGTGGAAATTCATCTACAGAGACCACATCAGGTGAAGGAGGCCGTGCTCAAGCAACACCAAGCCAAACATCATCGCCCACGGCAGGACAGCATGGATATCACAGCCCCAATGACGCGCCTCTCGTTTTCATTGAAGTGGCTGGTCACAAGCCAAGACCTTGCCCGAAAGAATTATCCGACCAGATAGATGAACATCTGCAGGAACTGGGAGACGATAATCAGCCCGACCACAAAGACGAATCCAAGGGGAACGGCAAAGGCAAAAACGTCAAGAAATGAACTATCTAAATGCCACAGACTATGCAAAAAGGCTCGATGAAGCCAAGCTGGAGAACACGATCAATTGAAGTCTGGGGCTTTTGGTAGTGACGATTAGCGTCTCATGGTGCCATATTTTACTCTGGGTCAAATGTCAGAGAGAGATGGAGACGTTTGAGATATTGATTGAATGTTGAGGATATCAGATTGTGGACCAAGATATTAATCCGAGACAATTGTTTTACATTATTCACCGACTTTGATATGTTACAGGTTAGAGACCCTCATCTGACAGGGAGGAACTGTCACGTAGAATTCCAGACTTTGGACACGCTAGATGAACGTGCTGAGCAGTTTGTTATGTTTCTAGAGGCTCTGATAGAAGCAATAATGAGCAAGTGACCACATGACTGGGTCAAAATTATAGGTAAATGCACGTCATGACATGGCAGGGTTCATTGTAAGTCAAGAATGGTCAGGAATAGATATTTTAGGTTTAGATATGACATTAATATTTATTTTATAGCAATAAATATAATAGAATGGTCAAGTCTAGCGGTCAGTTAAGAGAAAACATTATCAACATGAATGGCATGCCCAGAAATGAGGTTCCAAGATATTTCAGTCTGGGCAATATCTTGGCAATGGCTTGGTGTGGTGTGCATGATGAACTCAATCACCAATCAATGTGACGGTTAAAATACGGTGCAGCTAATAATGAAAGGCTTGAAGAACAGGGCGGAAGCTAATTCTGACAGCGATATCATGGCTGGACTGTCAAGCATTGACTGCAAATGAGTGCTAGAGGCAGAGCTGACAGTTGATCCGTGTGTGTTATTATAGATCAGTAGTATCCGTAAAGTCGTCGTCATGGCTGTCGATATTACACGCACTAATAAGCCCGCCAAGTATGGATATCTCACCAAATCGAGGCTGCTGAGGACGGGGGGAATTTCTCGTATTTGAGCGCATTTAAAGTTGTATTACTGCATTCGTATCCGGGTCAAAGATAGTGTCGAGAGGCAAGGGACAGTAAAGTAAAGTAAATCACATACCAGAGCCCTCAAAGTTGCAGTTAACAAAAGTAAGATACCTTAGGGATAACACTTCTAGAACACAATTGACCTGCCGTTTTCTGACAAAATCTCTATCATGAGATTTCTCTGTTGGGCAATATCGGAAATTGCAATGACGGAGAAACCCAAAACACAGCCAATCAGCTGAAGGGTCGCAAGTGGAGAAGCACTATTTCAGGCACGCAACTCCGCTGAATGGCCTGGGCTGGCCTCGGAAGGCAAGAAAACAACAGACCTTGATATGGGGTGTCAAAATAAACTTGGTAAAAGCTATCCTAAACTTAGGCTATATTACCTATATCTTTTTGTCATCTAGGATCAAGGTCCTAAGTTTTCTTTCCTCCCCTAGGCTGGGCACGATTTCGGCTCTTTTTTACCGTAGTCTCCCACTGGGAAAAAAGTCAATCAGACTTGGGGGCTCCCGTCTGACAAAAAAGATGTAGGTAACGTAGCCCAAGCTGAGAGGTCTCTCTGATGAGTTTCTTTTGGCACCCAGGGATAACTTCAGCTGTCGAGGCCTCTCTCTGTCGCTACATACCTATGGACAGTAGTTCATAATACAACCAGAAATGGTTAGATGGTGTCTGTCTGTCTATACACGAGATGACGAGAGTCCTGCAAGACGGTAACGGTAATGTCGCTGTACGAGGTGGCACAGTTATACAGTTCAACATTACGGATAATACGGACCATGATAATGGATGATACAGGCAGGCTGTGACTGTGACTGTGACTGTGGGCTCTCGTCAATGTTGTGCTGAAACTGAGACGCTCTCAGACGTTTCCTGTTCTACTGTAAGGGACAAACAAGTAAACAAAACAAGACGAAAACACCAGAAACAAGGGGCAGACATTAGTAACCCATATGTAGGAACGCAAGGCAATGCAAGATGGCGTTTCTGGTGAGAATGATCTTCTCCGCATGATGCATCCCAAATACAGGTTGTACAACTACGGAGTACAGTTGCCGATAATTAGTACTAAGGTACAGAAACTCTCTCGTTGCCTTTGGACAAGCCCATGCGCCAAGCCTAGGCCACTGGATTCGACCGCGTGATACAACCATGCCTGAACCAAGATACAAGGGATCCATGTACCGACACCATATGTAGATGGCTTCCGGGCCTCCCGTAGATACCTGGACCCCAAGTCCCTTGGCACGATCTTTTTTTGTTCTCGTACCTTAGGTACCGATAGGTTGGGGCTGGGCGGCTGCTACCATCCAGTGAAAGTGCCCAGAGTTGACTTACGCGGCAAGTTTTTTCCCTCTCTCTCTCCCTCCCTCCAGATTTCTCCAGATTTGTGAGGTGAATGAAGGAGTGAGTAAACGCTTTGGTGACATTCATTTTACTGTACATTCCCGTCCCCTCCAAATGCTATCGGCGGTTCATCTCCTCACAATTCCAATCCATTTCCGAGTTCGGCAAGACCGTCGCATCTAACGAGACAAGACAAGACCCGACCCCTTCTGCCCTTGCACCCGCTGCCAGAAAGAAAAACACACCAACCAAAACATCCCTGGCCCTGGTCTTGTCCCGCTACAAAGTCGCCCGACTCTGCCGCTTACAGTGAGATAGAGGCCCAGTTTTTCCCCGGCTGCAGGCTGTTGTTCACTGCCCGCTGTGACTTCCATTGCTCCCACCCACTCTTTTTTCTCTGCCCAGGCTCTCTTGTTCCTCGTCTCTTCCCAGCCATCTCCATCAACATCGATTATCTATCGATCAGCAAGTGAAATCGATCCTTCGTTTGACCAACTACCGAATCCTCCTGGGTCGTCCTGATCTCATTGTCCTCTTTCAGACGGGGAGAGAAAAAAAAAGACAAAGACAAAGAAGAGAGGTTGGGCTTGGCTTCGGTCAGACTTTGTTTATTCCCCTCTACTCAACTCAAAGTGGTTTGGTGACGACACGACTCTTTCAATAGCGTATTGCACAAACGCAAGCCAGCCTTGGCTAAACACAGGCACGGCATTTCCAGGTCGCTTCTACGCTGTACATACCTACCTCTTCTGGCCTTGTCTTGTCTTGCCTCTCCTCATACACACACACACAGACACATACACATACATACAAAGGACACTTCCCGCCCCCCGGTTCCACTGAACACAACCTTAATCCTCGTCTCTCGTTACTGTCTGTATCTGTATCGTATCTCTTACACCCACAACCCCGTCGCTCGTTTTCTCCCTTCGACACCGATCTCGACACCGACCTCGACCACAACTTGGACTATCGAACTCTCCGAACTGGGCTTAACTGTCCTTGAATCTTCGTCAAAATGGGTGCGTCATCCTTCGACTTCAATCCAGGTCGATTTCGCAAATCCCCTCATACTAACCTTGACCCAACCTGAACAGCCCAACAAGGAGGTGAAGCCCCTGTCACCACCATCGTTCCCTTCAGCAACCAGAAGGTCCTTCCCGCTTGCGCCGCCGCTTGCGGTCCCCTTTACGATGCCAACGGTGCCTGTGTTCCTCCTCAAGTAGCCGCTGATGCTGGCCCAACCGCCTACACGCAATGTTTCTGTCTCGACCAACGAGTCGCCGCTTTCTCGACCGCCACTACGGGCGTCTGCGATGACGCATGTACCGCGGATCCCAAGGGCCTTTCATCGATCGCTGGCTGGTTCCGAAGCATGTGCAGTGTTTCGACTGCTCAAAATGGAGGAACAACCAAAAAAACCGGAACTGGCTCTACGACTTTGACAGGCGGCGATGCTTCATCAACAGCTGGTAGCAAGCTATCTGACAATGGAGGTGGTGGTGATTGGTATGTTGACAATTTACTTAAAAGGCCCATGATTTATTCTAACTGAATCAGGATTTCCAACCATTGGCAATGGGTTATCATGATTGTTGTCCTCGTTGTCGGCATCGCAGCCATTTGGATCGGCGCTTGCATCTGGCGTCGCCGTTACCTGCGCAAGAAGGATCGTCAGACTCACCTCGGCCAGAAGCACTCTGGATCTGCATCTCGACCATCTTGGGGTCCCGGAATGGAGGCCTCAGAGTCCGGAGGTCTTCCCTACGACGATGAATCGAACCGAAACTCGCACGGCTTCATGCTACCGGGTGCTGCCGCCGGTGCTCCCGTGGAGGAGAAGCCACAGGAGAAGAAGCGATGGATCGTCCGCGACCGAACATGATACTCACTTCATGCTCGATCTTGTTAACGCCAGTTCCGATCTCATAACGACTCTCCTTACCATGTCCGAGTTGAAAAGCACTTCGACATTCTGTTTGCCTTACGATATAAACCGTGCATTTATTCATTTAAACGGCCTTACTCTATTCGATATCATCGAAAACATACGACTTTTTTAGTTGGTGAGGGGGGCTCTATCAGCACTTGAAAGAGGAGGAAACGAATGCATTTCGTAATGGCCACAGGAACGTGCAGACACTTGATAATTCAAGCATGGTTGAAAGATGCCGCCTGCAATATCTCATGTGGTCCAATGCTCACGCGTTTGTTGGTAGCCAGTTGTGCTGTGCCCCCCGTGGCGTTCTTGTTCATATTTCAGTTATATTCTGGCGTTGGGAGGAAGAGGAGGGTTGGCGTATCCTCCTGATTTGTTGTTTCTGTTCCCGTTTTTGTGGTGGCTGTCACCACGGAGCGAGTCTCGCCTCCATTCCCAGCATGAGGGTGGAATGTGACGTTGGCTCTGCCGCGAGGCTAGGAGAGGGAAAAATGAAGCTGCTTATTTGTTTTATTTAGACCAGAACAGAAATACTCTCTGGTTAGTTATTTGGTCATCTTTATTACCTACAGCTTCCTCGGCATGGGAAGAGGTTTGGAGTCTATCCTTGATACAGCATTTACAATTTCACCACCCATGAAATCTTCAACTCGCACTTACCAGTCCCTTCTGGTTCGATGCATCGTGATCCTTGAACTTTGTGCAACATTGATATGCCCATAAGAGTAACGTCTTCCTAGCAACGTCTCAGTGTCAACAAATTAGAGAACCTAATCTGCACAATTTCATTTTGGCTTTCGGCTCAACAAAGTTAATGCTACAACGCTTAAAGATGCTTGTTATTAACCTAATCAGGAGAATGCTATAGTAGTAGTTAATGCGTGGTATTGTATGCTTGATTCAAGCCCATGCCCAATCCTCAGGTCCCATCATCACTTCCTCCTCTTAGAATGGCTCTATGCCTTGTTTTGTTCCTCAGTAGCGTCCATGTATAAGTCGATCAGGCATCCTGCCGACCAAGCCTGTGTGGGGCTCTGTATAGGGATTAGTATACGATCACAGTGTCCACATACTCAAGATATCGACTTACAGAGTCGGCGCAGTATTCGCCGTTCTTTTGCGTCAGCTCTTGGAGACCAGCCCAAGGGCTCTCCTGGATCATCTTCTTGCACCCACTCAGTCTTCGGGTAACCTGCTGGAACGCTTCAGTGCGACCCTCAGGTGTTGTTCGTCTCTTGAGATCAAACTTGAGCAGTGCTCGGAGGAAGAAGCCAGTAGGCCAGATCCACTCGGGTCCCTGGTGGTAGTTACGGCCCTTGCTTGTAGCAAAATCGTCACTATCTTCACTGTTGACGTAGTAAGGGCGGTAGTTCATATCCGCAGGGTCTAGAGTCGCCATTCCTTGGGGTCCCCGAAGAGCCTCATCGGCAACACACAGAGCATGCATGGCATGGTCCGGATCGAACAAAGCCGGTGCAGTTGTCATGGCAATTGCAAAGTTGGGGCGCAGCTGGTAGTCCTCATACTCCTTGCCAGACTTGTAGAGATCCTTGTAAATTCCTCGGCGGTTCACAATTGGCGTATTGACGTCGTACTTGGAATCTTCCTCGGGAGAAATGGGGACATAGTAGCAGCGCTCGAAGTTGGCCTTGAGTAGGCCAGCCCAGTCAGCCAGGGAGATGGAGCCACCCTCAGATTTGTCCACGCCTGCATAGGCATACTTTCCATTCTCATGAAGCCCAGCGAGCCAATCGAGAGTGCTGTACAGCATGCCAGTGATCTCGATAGCAGCGCCATCACGAGGAGTTCCAGGGACTCCCTTGGATCCTGCGCGTTCACTCTCACCCATCTTGTCCATCCAGGTGCCGCAGTTGAACTGGTTACCGCCAAAGATAATACCGTTGCTCCAGTCAACCTTGATCTCCTGGTTGAAACCCTCATCCTTCATTTGGGAATCAATTTGGGGACCGGCATTAGCTTCCCTGTATCTCATACCTGAAGCATGTCTTTGCAGTGCTTCTTGGATAATTTCCTCAATGGTACTCTCCTTGGAGTATGCCCTCTCATCGTCGGTGGGGAACCATGTGTCATCGTAAGGCAGGAAACGACGCTTGACCTTGGCCTTGAGGATATCAAGTCCCTCTGGGGCAAAACGTGTATAATCCTGGATGCACTGAAGGAAGAACCAGATGGAGTCTCGAGAGTTATATCTGGGAGCATCGCCACTACTGAGAAGATTGGGGATCATGCCATGCTTCAATACACTGGCAAATGCAAGGATGTGTTCTCTGGCATCTCCAAAACGGCCAGTACCGATGAGAAGTCCACGAAGAGCGATAAACACGTCTCGGCCCCAGCATCGGGCCCATTCAACAGCGAAGTGAGGAAGACCAGCAGCCAGAGAGGGAACCAACTTGAAAGGCCACAAAGATGCTGACTTGACATATCCGACTTGCTGAACACTGACCATGGCCAAGCTTTGCAAAAACCACTGGCCATCTCGGACGCTCGAGTTCATGAGTTCGAGAGATCTGTCCCAGCTTGCCATGTAAGCAGTACGCAGAACAAGACCAAAGTAACGAGGGAGCAGGAAACTGGGGATCTTTCGGATGGCATCGAATCGCTCCTCTAGCCATCTCAAGGGTTGGGCAAGTGCCTCGTTACCTGGAGTGGCACTGATTCGTTGCAATCTTGCAATAATGTAGTCCAGAGCCCATTCACCATCACGTAAGTTCTGACACAGTGGGTGGGCCAGGTTGTTGTCCTTAATGATGTTCTTGAGAAGACTCCACCATCCTTGGAGTCCGGCATACACAAGCTTTCCATGCCCAGGAATATCGTAGACACCATCTCGGCCGTCACTTTCGGCCCTCTCTTCAGCTTCACATCGATACATCAAGAAGTTGAGGTCTGTCAGACTGAGCTCATTCCAGGCAGCCTTGGACCCTGAGGTGACATAGTTGTCCAAGCCAGACGAATGCTCAGCAGCGGGGATCCAGGTCTCGAACAGGGCAATGCTTCCAGGGGGGAACTTGTCGCGCACAGTGATGGTAGTGTCGTCACCATTGATTTCCATGCGAATGCCGGGTACGTCCTTAACTCGGCTAGGCAAGCCGCGCAGGAACTTCTTGTCCCCGAGCACTTGCTGTGTTGCGTCTTCACCAGCGTCAACCTCGAGCATCCAACTACCCAGGTGTCGAGCTTTGGTTCCAGTGAGATGAACAGGGCTAAAATCACCGTTGCCATTGCCGTAGCCTGGGAAAGCTGTATGTGCAATGAGGAAGTAACCCTTGCGAGATTCAGGGTGCACTCGGTGAACAGTAATATACTGGTCCTCGTGATGGATGTGAGTCTCGTCGTATCCATCCTTGCCCATCAAAGTGTGTATTTGGTTAAGCAGCTTCTTGACGCCGCCAATTCCCTCCTCGCCGCCTCCAATCTTAATAGGCTTCGTCCCAGACGAGGCAGATGTGTAGAGCCGGGTCTCATTGACAAGGTCGACAAGCTTTGGGTAGATTTCATCGTATCCCATAACACTACCAGTAGCGCTGGAGCACATGCATACAAGAGCAGCGTTGGGAAGCGTATCGCGGGCATCACGCTTCTGTGCCGGTGTCTCGTTGTCGTGAGTGCAGTCCATGAATAGAGCATGCACTGGACTTGGCTTGATTGTGCGAATAATCTCTCTTGAATGCGATACATGCCCATTCGTCTCGCCGTTCTTGAGCCTGGTGGGGCTACTCGACGGGGTGCGAACATCCGACTTGGAAACTTCATCGACCTCAAAGCTTCCAATAGGTCGGCCTCCGTGTCTGTGAACCAGTCGGCTAAGCTCACCCGTGCTCCATGCCTGCATGGCTTCACGAATAAGGGAGCTGAGACCAAGACGCTTCACAAAAACGTAGTCCATCTCTTCAGAGCCTGTAAACAATTCGGCCACAACATACAAGTCAGGTCGCACCCGGCGAGCCTCGTCAAGAATATGCTCAGCCACATGAATGGGAGTCGAGTGGCAGTTATCGATACGGAGACCGGCAAAGTATTTGGCCAGTGTGCGAGCATACTTGGTCATATGCTCCCACAGCCAAGGGTTGTCTTGGGGGCCTGAGCCGTATCGTAACTTGACACAGTCGCCCCAGACAATAACCTCTCGGCGAAGGTACACTTTGGATTCAGGACCAGCGTTGTCGACCAGTGCATTACCGCCCCAAACCCATCCATTGTTGACCAAAGCCATCTCTTCGGGCTTCAGCTTCGATGTTGTCTCATTTTTAGGGAGTCGGGTGAAGTAAGGCTCAATTAGGGGGTTCTCTTTGTTGATCTCGCCAAGCTTGGGACCGTGGTCATCAAGTCGAACATACTTGATCCTGTTGAAAATTTGCTGAAGAATGTCATCCACTTCAGCATCATACTCTTTGTAGTAGTCTACATTGAGAATCTCCAAGATCTCGACAATCTTGGCCCTGGCTGCTTTCTCATCGGAAGAACCCACGGACGAAGCCAAAAAGCTAGCAGCTACGTCAGGCTTGACACGTCTTCGAAAGCGCTCACCCATTCGGTCGGTGCCTGTCAAACCGAACTCCCTGAAGAACTCGACTTGGTCCTTGATTGGTGCAGATTTGATGTTCTCCAACTTCTTCTCGAAATCTGGAGCGTCCTCAGAGGTGTATTTCTTTCCTTGGGAGAAGGCCTGAACCGCCTCGTCGGCATCTCGGTCCACATCAACTGCATAGTATTCCCATAGCCTGATTTTGGCAAGGACCTCGGTCTTGATCGCATTCATGATGAGTAGCAAATCATCGGTAGACTTGACGACAGTGGGTAGTCCCAACTTTGCCAGGTTGTCGCTCAACTCCAAGAGACTTGTGTCAAGTTGATAAGCGGACTCAAGCCAGGGTGCTGTGATCAAATTGTAGCCTGCTTCGGGATGCTCCTCAAGCCATTTT